TGGAGACTATCATGCTAAGTGAAATAAGCCAATCCTAAAGCACCAAAGGCCCAATGTTTTCTCTGATATGCAGATGCTAATTCACAATAAGGGGGAGGGGGAAGAATAGAGGTAATCTGGACTAGACGGTGGGGAGTGAAGGGAGGGGAGTGGGGGTAGGAATGAAGTAGAATGAATCAGACTTTATTACCCTATGTGCACATACGATTACACGACCTGTGTAACTTACATCATGTACAACCAGACGAATGAGAAGTTATACTCAATTTATATATGAGGGGTCAAAATGCATTCTACTATTGTGTCTAAGTAATTAGAAAAAAATATATATATATATTTTCTTCAGCACTATTACTCACGCCAAATTGTCAGGCTGGGAAAGCAAATCATCAGGTTGTCATTGCAGTGGGTCATCCCTTGTCAGCTGGATCAAAATGTCAGGCTCCTGATTCCAGGAGCAAGGAGAGAAGTCTATAGTGAGGGCTTTTCACCCTGGTCTGAATCTCTGGAGGGTGACCTGTGCTAGCAAAGACCAACCTCAGATTATTTCTCTTCTCTGCCGTGAGTTTATTCCCACCTACACATAAATCCTCTCTGTGGTCCACAGTGTTTTGTTCCTTCTAACAAATAAACAAAACCCTGTGGGCCAGAGCCCAACAGTGACTCCCATCACTTCTGTTCTCATTCACACAAAATCTCCTTTTTTTATTGCAACATTTTTGGAAAAAATTTAAATATATATATATATATATTTTAGTTGTAGATGAACACACAGTATCTTCATTTATTTTTATGTGGTGCCAAGGATCAAACCCGGTGCCTCACACGTGCGAGGCAAGTGCTTTACCACTAAACTACAGCCCCAGCCCTAGCCATTTTATTTTATTTGTTCTTTTTATGTATACATGACAGTGGAGTATATTTTGGCATATTATACACACATGGAGCATAACTTATTCTAATTAGGATCCCATTCTTGTGGCCGAACATGAGGTGGAGTTACCCTGGTCGTGTTCATATATGCACATGGGAAAGTTCTGTCCGATTCATTCTGTCTTTCCTGCTCCCGTCCCCTCTCCCTTCCCTTCATTCCCCTTTGTCACATAAAATTTCTTGGAAGTCAGTTTCAGCTGATTTGCAGCTTCTGTCTATTTTACCTGTACTCTGCCCCAAGGGCTCTTGCCAAGGCCACGATTTCTGAATGCCTAGAGTCCACGCCACACTTGTTCTCGTCTGGCTGATCCCGTCTCAGCAAACCCCAACCTACAACCACCTACTCCCTTTCCCCCCAGACCTCCTCTTGCTGGCACTTACCTGCTCTTTCTCTTGCTTCATAGATCCTTCCTGTGGACCCTCTCTCTAGACCACCTATGCTGGACAGCCTAGGGTCAGGCAGTCCTGGTACCCTCTTCTTCCTCTTCCAGACCCTGAATTTCTATCCCATCTAAATAATGATAATTCTCAGTTTGGTAACTGGATCTGCCTACTTGGTATTTCCAGTCAGATGCTTAATAGGATTCTCAATTTGAGATGGACTCCTTCCTATGGATTTCATTCTCTTTTGCTATTTTAGTAAGTCATATCCTCGCTTACCCAGGAGCTGGGGCCAAAATCTACATGCTCTCATCCCAGCCCTTTTATTTATTTATATTTAGTTGTAGTTGGACACAATTCCTTTATTTTATTTATTTATTTTTATGTGGTGCTGAGGATCAAACCCAGCACCTCGCATGTGCTAGCGAGCGCTCTACTGCTGAGCCACATCCCCAGCTTAGTTTTTTATTTTGAGACAGGGTCTCACGAAGGTGCTTAGGGCCTCACTAAGTTGCTGAGGCTGGCCTTGAACTTGCAATCCTCCTGTCTCAGCTCCCTGAGCTGCTGGGATTATAGACGTGCACCCATCTATAATGCCTTTAAAATATGTTTTGAATCCATCTGCTTCCTTCCACCTCCACCCAGCCAGGAAGCCACCATTGATGTTATAATCAGGCCACCTCCTCTGCAGACCCTTTCCTGACCTCCCAGTCTCGAGGAGGTGTTCTGCACTAACAAGTACCTTTGTTTTAGGCTCATTATTTCACATACTTCTGCTTTTTGCTGATTAAAAAAAAATACTTTTTTTAGTTGTAGTTGGACACAGGACCTTTAGTTTACTTATTTATTTTTATGTGGTGCTGAGGATCGAACACAGGGCATCGCTTGTGCTAGGCAAGCACTCTACCGCTGAGCCACAACCCCAGCCCTGTTGATTCTTTTATACTGAATGTTTATTCATTGTGTCCCCTGCCAAATGACATGGGTGTGCCACAGGATTAACCTATTAGTTGGGGGATGTCCCCGGACCCCCGCAGATTGCCTCCACACAGCTATGAACTACATGAAATGGAGGAATGAATTTTGGAAGCAAGTGCCACATAGTCCAGGAAGGTGCTTGTGATTAAAAACCCACGAAACAGAAAACCCCGTGCACTTTCCCCAGCTCTTCTGAGGAAACGGAGGATGAGGGTGAAGGTGATCAACCAGGCAGACAACATGAGGTTCACGCTGGTGCCCTGGACAAAGGAGCCCTCAAGGTCAAGGTTAGAGCTCCCCTGTCTATACTGTCTTTGAGGACACAGATCTGCCTTGGCACCCAGCGCTTTTCAGAGATAGGGACATCCCTTGAGGGCAGAGTTGGGAAGCGTGGGGCCTAGCCTCACTTTCCGGGGGCTTGCCTGCTGTGGGATCTTGGACCAGGACCTGAACCTCAATGTGCCTGGTTTTCTCAGCTCCAATGTGGAGGTGAGTGTTGATCCACGAAGGATTGTGAAAGGGTTCTGAAGAGGACCCATGAAGCACCCAGAGCAGTGCCTGGCTCATCTTTCTTCTTAGGAAAACCAAGGCTGGTAAGTCCTAGCAGGTCTTTACCATCTCTGATGCCTCTTCAGACTTCCAGTCATCCCCAAGACTTGGCTCCTGTCTTAGCCCCTCTTGTTACTGCAGAAGGATGTCTACCTCCATGCAGAGGGTGGTAGCAGCTGCAGACCACCCCCCGTGAATTCTCCTAGGGTCCTAAAAAGCTGCACCCTTCTAAGTCACCAGGCACCTGAAAAATTAAACCACATCCTGGAACACACAGAGGGTAGGAACTTCTGGTCTGAACAAAACGGAACCAAATACTTTCGATCTTACAGTGAAGTCTATTGCCTCAAAATGGCTTATCTGAAATGTTCTGCTAACAGGAGAAATGATAGTTTGGGGTAATCATAACCAACATGATTTTCATTTGTTTTTTCCAGTTAAAAATATTCATGTTAAGGACTGGGGTTGTAGCTCAGTGGTAGAGCATTTGCCTAGCACGTGTGAGGCACTGGGTTCGATCCTCAGCACCACATAAAAATAAATAAATAAGATGCAGGTATTGTGTCCATCTACAACTAAAAATATTTTTAAAAATATTCATGCTAAGCTTTTGGAGCAAAGCTAGCTAGATAGAGCTCTTGTGTGGAGCCTATTCACCACAGAATTCAGTATTGATGTCCTCTAAGAGAATGCAATTAATAAATCAATCTGATTGGGGGAAAAAAAAAAACTGTCCCGGGACTTTTTCACTAAAGTTAGACTCAATGAAGTCATGTAGTAGTAACAGCTAGAAAAATAATTTTCATGAAGATGAAGGATACAATAAAGGTAGTAGCCCTTAAGATACATAAAATCAAATTACAATATGTCATGGCATCTTACAATTCTGATTCCAGCTGTACAAATTCCCAAGGAGATTGGCTTGTTCAAAGGAACTTGTTGGAACTGTTTTCAAAAAGAGCCAGGTACAGTGGCATTTGCCTGTAGTTCCAGCTACTCGGGAGACTGAGTAAAAATGAAGTTCACTTGAGGCAGGGGTTTGAGGCCAGCCCGGGCAACATAGTGATATTCCATTCAAAAAAAAAGAAAAAGAAAAAAAAGAAAAGAGGTATTATATAACCACCAAGACACAATTCTAAGATTCTGCCTGGCTTTTCCACGTTGTACATTCATGGTTCCTAATCTCTAACATACTGATAACCCAGTTTCTAATAGAAATGTGCAGGTTAGAGGAATCAGATGCTAATGAATGATAACTTCTCAAGAAATTTTTATATTTTACTGTGGTGTGCCACAGAGATGAGAAGAGAAAAGCTTATGTCATCTTCTGGCTTCTAAAAATGAACACCATAATTTTTGTTGGGGGGGGGTGCTGAGAACAAATTCAAAAAACATCAAATTCCCCAACCAACCCAGTTGGGAAGCTAAATGGAGGAAGGGAGAGACCTTGTGTTGCATTTAATTCCGTGTTGGAGGATGTCCCCTGGGAGTAGAAATAACATTCCCATATGCGACAGAGGCGTCTTTGAAACCTTTTATTAAACAGGCAATGAATTGTGCAACGGTCAAGGACACAGATGCCTAGTGGAAAAGTTTAAAAATTCACTTTTTGGAAACAGTCTATGAATCGTGAACCCTGCTATGTCCCTTTCTCTCCTTCTCAGACGGGCTATCTTCACAAAATCAGGTTGTTTTATAGCTGCTCTTGGAAATGGCGTCCCTGTTTTACCATACATGTCATGCCTGGTGGTGACACAGAAGGAGAAGACAGTCCACAGGCGAGACGGTGGCCGGAGACACGGCTGGTCTCAGGGGAGGTGTCACACCGGCTCCTGGGATGGCTTCTGTCCTGGGCTTGCCGTGTCTGAGGCCTCTTTACTAAGGGAGTTCTAAAAGGCTCGCATTCATACCTCTGGGCACAGGAGCTGGTTCCTGGACTTCTTCCATGTTGTTCTTGTTGGGGGCCCCTCCGGCCTGGGATTATGGCTGTGTGTTTGTCCTCTTTGTTGAGCCTGGCTTCTTCCCCTTCCCCGGGATCGTCACGACGTGGTGATAAAATCAATCTAGAGTTTCACAGTCTGTTGACCACAATTTATCGGCAGTTTTAAACTAAGTGGCCTGTCAAGGTAGTGGACGTTTGCCATCGGCACGCCACTGATCTATTTTATGATTTGGGGCATGTCGCTCCATGCTTGAGATTTCTTTCTGGCAAGTTCCATCCAGGAAGGCTGATCTGCACTAGCATAACTGGCTCTCTTCAGCTGATGCAACTCCTTCTCCGTCATCACCGCAGACTGAGCCGCTGGAAAGGAGAAAAAATAAACAGAAACCCGAGAGGGGAGTGTGAGTTTTCATTTCAGCCCTTTGCATTTCCTTAAATACATGCCAAAGTCTTCGCTGTGTTCCCAAACACGAAATTCATTAATACGTAAACGTGTGAAGACGATGCAGGCGTAGAACATGTAATTTATGTGATAAAAAGGCTTAGAAGCAGATTTAAACAGTCCTGGCCACACAGCAAAGCCAGAAAAATGTTTAGAGCAAGACTGTAGGAAAGATGGAGGAGGCTGCACACATGACATGGTACACACGCCATTGAATTGGCCCCTCAAAGATAGTTAGGAAGGTAAATTTCTTGTGGTTATGACTTTGTTTTTCGCCCCCCCCGCTTTGGTACCAGGGATTGAACCCAGAGGCACTTAACCACTAAGCCACATCCCCAACTCTTTTAAAAGTATTTTTTTAGAGGCAGGGTCTCGCTGAGTTGCTTAGGGCCTCACTAAGTTGCTGAGGCTGGCCTTGAATTCTCTATCCTCTTGCTTCGGCCTCCCGAGCAGCTGGGATTACAGCCGTGTGTCACTGCACACAGCTCTTGGTTATACAACTTTTATTGCAAAGAAATAAAATTTAAGAAATACTGGGGCTGAGGTGTGGCTCAGTGGTGCAGTGTGTGTTTGGATGCACAAGGCCCTGGGTTCAACCTCTAGCACCATGAAAAAAAAAAAACGAATATGGATCCCTATAACAGAGATGAAACTCAAAAGCACTATGCCCCATGAAAGAAGGTAGGTGTAAAGGGGCACATCTTTTATGATTCTGTTTTATAAGAAATGTTCCCCAAAGGTAAATCTATGGAGACCAAAAAAAAAAAAAAAAAACAGAAAAGATCAGTGAGTGGAGAGAGGCTGCAAACAGACATGAGCTTTCTTTAGAACGTGAGGGATTTCTGGATTTCTGTGAGGGTGGCCCACTATAAACATATCCTCACTGAATGGCACCCCCAGGAATGGGCAAGCTTCCTGGAGTGGGTATTACATCTTGATAAAAGCTGCATGAAAAAACTCAACATGGCAAGAAATTCGACAGGGCAGGCCCAAACTTCAGGAGCCCTCTAGGATGACAATGACCGTGTTCAGGAACGTGTGCGGATCTCATACCCAAGTTCTGATGAGACAGCGAGATTCCTCGTTGCAGACCCTCCTTGAGACTGAGCTTTGCCCCCTGCCTCTGGGTCACAGTGGGCTTAGCAGGGGTCATCAGGAAAGACTTGCTGCGGACAAAGTCGGCTTGCTTCACGGGTTCCTAGGGTGAGACAAGAAAGGGACATACTGTTCAGCTGAATGGACTCAGAGAGGGACAAACACAGCCCAAGGGAGTGAGCTGCGAGGCGTCTCTCCAGAGATGCGCTGTGCCACTGGCTCTTGACAACTCTCTGATGTCCAGCATCAGAACGCTGGAGCTCCCGCTAGTGCCCAGAGTGACCCCAGCCCGCATGTGCATCGTGGCATCTTCCCTGTCCCAAATATGCAGCCGCAGGCCCAGATGCTGCATGGCAGGGTTCCATGCCAAACGCAACACAAACTGGGTTTGAAAATAGTCGTGTGACTTCTACAACACTCGGTATGAACCCACGCGCTCCAGGCTGGTTAATTTATTTTATAAATTCCCTCAGCCTGCACGCAGATCCAGGACAACTGAGGTTTGAAGGGAAGGAGGTCCTGCAGCAAGCTCGGCTCCTTCCTCACACAGCCACAATAGGGAGAGTAAACCCAGGGTTGCAGACCTGCAGCCCCAGGTGAGAATAGGGAGGCCCCACGGGCAGCACGTGCAGCCTTGTCATCACCACACAAAGAACTGAACCAGAGATGCTGACACTGCTGCTGGGTGCCTAAGCGAGAAGTTATTTTAACCTCCTTTCCATTTCTCCAGATGCTGAGCTGTGTTGCCTAGGAGGCAGGAGCAGAGCGCTGTCTCCGCTGCCTAGTGATTCACATGCCTCCCAACATTCCCAACAGCCCAGCCCAAGCACAGAGCAGGCAGACTGCTCCACCACGGAGGCTACAATCTGGCACATCATTGGTTTTGCTTTGCTGACCCTCGACCACATGTTGGCAATCATCACAGGTGACCGCCTGTCTCTGGGATGCCCATGTAGGATGTGCGGTCCCAGCCGCAGCTGCTCCCCACTGAGTGCACAGAAACAGAAGGCGCTCGCTCTCAGCACCTGGGCTCTGTCGGATGCCTTGGTCTGCTTTCCTGTTTCTGGTTTCAGGATCTGCACCCCAGGCTTGTCTTCCTGGTTGAGGGGCTGGTCTGGGAGCCCTCGCCGCTTCTGCCGGGCCATGGTGATCCAGGGTGGTGTGGGCTGCCCGTCAGCTCCGGGACCTGTCGGCAGACTCTTTTCTGTGGGTAGAGGCACAGGTTAGCAGGCCGCCCACTCCCTCTGCAGCTCCACCTTTGGCTTCTCCCACCGTATGGCACTGACAAGGTGGCAGGGGCCAGGGGCAGGAGGTCTGGGAGCACATGGGTGGGACTGACACTTTTCTTAAGGGGGACTTCATTTTCTTTCTAAAGATGAATCAAAGAGATTATGTTCCTCCAGTGTGAGCCACAAAAAAATTAAATACAACTGCCCTTCTAAGGTCAATGTGGATTTTAAAGCTAACTTCCTCCTAGGGAATCTTTCCTGGAAGGAGATAAAAATACACACATAAATAGACACAATTTTTTTTCAGTAGGATGCTATCATTGGGACCAGCGTGCACTCCCTGATTCCTGATTTGTTTGGATGCTATAGACACACTATTGTTTTCCTGTCTTTTTTTTTTTTTTCCTGGTACTGGGGATTGAAACCAGAGACACTTAGCCACTGAGCCACATCCTCAATCTTTTTTTATATTTTATTTTGAGACAGGGCCTCGCTAAGTTGCTGAGGACCTCTATAAGTGGCTGAGGCTGGCTTTGAACTCGAGATACTCCTGCCTCAGCCTCCTAAAGCTGCTGGGATTACAGGTGAGTGCCACCACGCCCGACTCTTCAGGTCTTTAACAACTGTTAACATAACCTACTTTGGTGGAAAACAATACCAATGTCATTTCATATTTTATGCCTTGTCCAGAGAACCCAGTAATTGCCTCTCAGGTAGAAGGTGGCAGGTGGCTGTGTGTTGAACATTGTATTTCTCATCTCTTGTTCTCAACCAGAGTTCCAGAGCATCCTCAAAGCTGCCTTTCTGGATTTTTGCTTTTATCGTAGGTGGCTCCTTTCTGTTCTCATCCTATTATTTCTTCACATTCGCACCCAATATGCCCTTCGCACCCTCCTCTCTGCCTCACCGGGTCTGTGTCGTGCTGATCAGGGGCACCTATCCACACCACATCAGCATAATAGAAACGGGGATTTCACTCTGGGTTTGAATTTATGGGAACTGCAGTTTTGTAAACAACACAGCTTGGTTGAACTTGACCAGAGGTAACTGTTTTCTTTCCTTATATCAACAGTGTGCTGGCAGAACTCCATTCCAAGCACAGAAGGTCAAGACAAGCCACCTGTTGTGTGGCTTGTCTCTGGGACGGCAATGTTAATAGATACACTGTGTGTGTGTGTGCACGTGTTTGTGTATTCACATGTCTATGTTCATGTACACTCCCACAGGGGAAGTGGGCCCTGTACCTGCACCAGGAAGTACCAGTGTGTGATAAGGTGACCCTCAGTGACAGTGGCACCAAGCATCTGGCCAATCTTTCACCGATTGTCCTCTCTTTCCTTCTTGCTTCCTGCCTTCCCCTCCAAGGGCCATCCTTTCCTTACATTCCATATTTTCTTCTTTCCCACCTTCTTCCTTGTCAGGAAGGCAGACAGATCAGAGGGGCCCTGATTCCCTCCAGATCCTTTTATGGGGACTGTCCTGGGCCAAGCTCCTGGGCAGGGGGAAGCAGCACACCAAGAGGGACAGAGAAAAGCCACCACCTAAGGTGAGCTGAGAGGAGGATAACGGGGTAGACGTTTTCTACAATGCTGAGTCTCACAGAAGCTCACCTGTCCCAGGTGAGCACAAGCAGAGCCGGGTGATGAGGCATTCTGCTCTGTGGTACATCTAGGTGGCTCTTGTGGCCTGCACCCCCCAGCTCCCTGCCATTGGCACCCAGCTAGGGGCAGGAGCTGTGGGGTCTGGGGCATACTGTCCACCCCAGGAGGGCTGGAGAAGGGAATGAAGGCACAGGTGCTGTGCAGCATAAGGCAGGCTTCAGGGGTCCAAGGCCTTATGATGATGTGACAGCTGTGAAGCATGAACATTCAAGGTCAAGGTCGCTTCTGAGATTGCACACACTCAGAATGTCCTTAATCCTAGACAATGTAGATGTGTCAGATAAAATCAGTTGAAAATATCCCTTTGTTTACCTTTTCCTGCTTCAATACACAGACAGCCTTAATCTCCCGGGGATTTGGCGAAAGTCCTCTGACATCTCAATTTCTCCTCTGCAAGTGACAAGGCGTTTAAGCTGTCAAGAGTGCTGGGGTTGGCAACCAACATCCCAAGAACATTTCTCAGACCAGGGAGCCGCAATTTCAAGTCTGGATCTGTGTGATCCCCTTTGCTGAGGCCCTTAGAGACAGAGTCTCCCTCACAGCTACCCCAAAGGGAAGGAAGGCACCAATCAGGTCTTAGAACACAGTGGACTGACACCTCTGGAAGGCAAGAGCTGGAGGTGCAGAAAGCTACTGTATGGCCAAGGCTCACCCCAGGCGATGCACGTCACAGGGAAACAACGTTTGAAAAGAGGAAAATGCTTTCCTGTTGTTATTTAGGATAAGATTTGTCAAAAGAGCAGTTGGTCAGTTTGCTCTTCTCCAAATTCCTTCCCTCTTTGGACAGTCTCCCCTACCTCTAGGATTTCTTCTTGAAGAGTATAATATGTAAGCACTCATTTCCAAGAGAGCCTGTCCTCAGGCTTGGGATCAGTGGCTCTGCTAATGAGGACTGTTCCTTCCCTGGGGCCAGGGCAACCAAGCAGCTAATGACCTGCCCCAGGGGCTAGACGGCTGCGTTTAAGGCCTCAGGTTAGCAACATGCTCTTAGGCTAATTCAAGAATCCCTCTGAGACACGGTTTCAGTGTCTAGTGAGGAAAATAGCAGAATCAACACCTCCTAGCATGGAGGTCATATCATTCCATGAGACAGCCCACCCTCTACACCTCCCAGCCTTGCTGGAAGATTCCATGAGGTCTTCCTGGAAAGCAGTTGGCATGGCTCCTGACACCTGGGTCTGCTCTGGGCCTTCGCTGTCCCCACAACCTCTGCTGTTGTTACTTTTATTTCTGGTGTTATTATTTCTCCTACAGAGGAAGGATGTAGACTTTGGTCAAATCCTACTCCAGTCCCAAGAGTAAGACTTAGGAGCCCTTGTTCCCTGTGCTGATAAGAACCCACAGGGTGCTTGGTTGTACCCCAGCTCCTTGCTGTGTCTGGCAGCCTGGCTGGCCCTCTGATACCTAAGGATTCAGTGGTTCCAGCAGGCGTGGTGCTGGTCTGCCTGCAAACCTCGTGAAGGGAGGGGCCTCATTCTGGTCATCTCTGCATCCACTGTGCCCAGCATGGGCCAGACAGCAAGTGAGTGCCAGCAGGGTCTGAAGGCTACCCTGCCATGTCATGGAGAAGCCTGGCCCCGCGCACACCAGTGCGCCCTGGAGAGCCATCTCTAGGACAGCCATCGGGTCCTCTGTGCTGTAAGTTGTGGTGACTCTGGTGGGATCTGATGCAGTAACATGCTGCTCAAGATGGTAGCCTGGTTTTCACCCATAATCCCAGGAGACACACCCATGTGTCACTCTTCAGATTCCTCCTCTCACAAGACTCTGGTACCAGTGTCCAGAGCCAGCATCATGACCACATCGTGACGGAGCAATCAATGTTCATGAAGACGTAAAATGGACCATTCCCCAAATCCTCAATGTTAAGCCATTTCTAAGGATGTTCAACCACCCCTACCTGGGACCAGTGCATTTCATCACTTAATAATGACTCACTGAATGGTGATAGTTATCCTCCCCAACCCTTTTGGGGGATGCCTGTTAAAATTGAGCCTTAAGGTCTGATTTCATTAAGACTTCTAGAGTGCCCACCTGGGGCCAGGATGGTGCTCTGGATCACGCCCTGTCTGACACCTGGGTCACAGGTGAGTCTGGAAGCTGGCAGCTGCCATGAACTGTCCTCTGAGTGAGAGTCAGTGAGCCCTCAGATGTAAAACCCTGTGGTTCCTTGCCCTTTGGCTCTAGGGTAACCCAGCAGGATGGCCAGATTCCTGCGCCTCATTTAGCAAAGTACATGTGCACATTGTACAAATTGAGAAAGTAGATAAGAGTATAACAAAGGGAGACAAAAAATGTTTCCCATGAGGCATCAACTCAAGGGAGCCGTGTGAAGACTTACCAACCTTTCTCTGCTTGGCCACCATCTTAAAAATGCATATGGCGCAGCTCATTCCCAGGATTTTAACACTGTCTATGGAAGAGGCCAGAATGGATCCATTAAGACTTCCAATCTCAAGTGAAGGCGTCATCATCTTTTCTCATAAGTAGCTGGAGCCAGAGGAGTGGACCAAGCCCCGGTGCTTTGAGAGGCAGAGTTTGGTCCTGTCCTTGTCTGCCCTCTAGGTCCTCAGTCACAGGCCTGTTGACATGGTGGGAATGGGATGTGCAGACAGATTCCAAGAGGACCCCTGGAGCAGTCGTGGGCCCTGGGGACACTCCTGGCCTCACCCACATTTCAGGCTTCCTTCTTGAAGAGCTTCCACTTGTTTTTTTGGTTTTAAAAGCATTTATTGATCTATCGTCTGTCCTGGATTAGACAGACTGATCAATACCCACCGGCAAAGTCTACAGCGGCTCTTCATCAGTTCTGTGCACGTGCCAAACTGTGCCATCTTACCTTGGGCTTGCACTGCTCGCCTGAAGCTCACTCTCCAAACCGTGGGCATTTGGGGGGCGAGCAGGAGTTTCTCATAGAGCAAGCTCCCACATCCAGTGATGGGAGCCAGGGCTATGACCCACCAGCTCCACTTCCCAATTAAACTTATCACCGCTCCTTCTTTTTCATGTTCAACAGGCAATCCTAATAGTTCTCCGAGTCTCACTGATAATTCACAGACTTGCTCAAGTGTGTTTGGAACCTCTAGCCAACACTCACGTGATGTGGCCACTCGTAGATAATGGCTGGTGACTCGCCTGATGTGGCCCTGCCCAGCTGAGGCTGAACAGGAGCGCACTCTGTCTTCGTTTTAGCTCTATATTGTACATAAGTGTCCTCTCTGTGGCCTAAAAGGCACATTTGGGGGACTTTTGCTTGGTGTTCTCGTTACTCGGTATAACTGCCACACAGCCTGACGAAACTCAATAACTCCTGA